TTATTATTTTGTTATACACCAGGGCTTGAATTAAGTGTATTGCAAATCCCTCACCTACACGATTAATTTTTTCTTTAAAAAATTTTTTTCATGATTTGTTTTTTTGGTATAGTTTTTTTTTCTATTTTAATTTGCATTTTTTTGTCAATTCTTAAATATTTAGAATAAATTTTTTTGAATGAGGTTTTTGATAGGATCATCCAAAAAATAACGTCATACTATATTTAACTTTTAAATGCTGTCTTTTTTTGCTCTCTTGCACGGAGATTTTCATTAAACATAAAGCCCTCTTGAATATTAATTACTTTAAACTCTGAGTGAAAGCCAATAATTTCCTACTTCAATTTTCAAGTTAACATTTTGTATGATGTACTTTATCGATAAAGTACATCACAGTAAATTTACCCAAAAGTAAATGAAAGCAACTATTAAGCCATTAATTGATTAAACCATTAATAAACTTAACTAACAAATATACTTAATAAGTTCAAAGACATTAACTTGCAAAAGTTAGCAATGTTTCTATTTATATGTTGTTAAGTCTTAAAAGCTTCAACCAAAAATTACTTTAACAAATTTTAAGTAGAATATAAAAAATGAAATACAATTTTTTTTTATTATTATCATTTTATTGATAGCGATATCAAGGTATAACATTTTCTAGAAATACTCAAGTTGTTTTTTTTAATTTTATTTTAAAAAGAAATATATTTGAACAAGAGTCTTCCAATATCCTCTTGTTCAAATAAACTTCAATTTCAAACTGGAAATTTCAAAAATTTTTGAAGAATTTGAAACAATTTGTAAAGAGAATTTTAATTATAAAGTTTTGTACATTTTTAACATTTTCTTTAAAACTATAAACTTAATCTAATTAAACCTGCTTTGATATTTGTAATACCAGATCTTCCAAAACAGAAAGTATAAAAACAAAAATAAAAATGAAAGACTTACTGTATGCAACTACAAATTTCTTAAAAAAAAATATTTTTTGACTAAAATTATTGCAGAGTGAAAACTTAAAGCTTAAAAAATTTTAACTAAATGGTGTTCAGAAAGACATTTACTACATTTTTATTCAATATGTCCTCCCTCAGCATCAAACACAGCCATTTTTCTCATCAACCTTACTGGGTTCTTAGAAATTGACCCTTGACAGTCTTGATCAATTAAGAAGTTCAAACTGACCTCTTAAACTACTGCCAAACTTCCTTCTACAGTGTAGACAGTACTTAGAGGCTTGTTTAGCATCTTGGAAATATGTTTAAAAATACCAAACATGTATTTTGAAATCACCAAACTTATTTTTGCAAGATTTGTGGTTGCATATGGTAACCAAAATTATTTTTCAAAAATGTTCAGGTTCAGAAAGAAATAAAAAAAGTACTTTAGGTAAAGTTGAAAAAAAAAAATAGATTTTCAAAATGTTTAATTATACTATGATACTACTATGGGTGAATGGTATAACAATAAACAAAGAAATTTAAGTATATATTTATGAAAATATAACTTATGTTTTTATAAGTCATAATTTAAGTATGACTTATGAAAACATTATTTGTCATATAAAACCATGATTAAAACTAAGGCCCATTAACTGTATAATCATTAAGGTTAATAGGCCTTAGTTTTGTTCTAAATATCAAAATAATTTTATTCTAAATATAAAATAAAATTTATTCTAAATATTTAAGAATGGACAAAAAAATGCAAATTACAAAAGAAAAAAATATTACACAAAAAAACAAATCATGAAAGAAAAATTTCAAAAAAAAAAAGAGATCAATTAGTTCAGTTGGTTTTGAAAAAGTTTGTTTGTGCAGTCTATTGTAGACTTTCTTAATGTTAGAAAAAATAAACTGTTTTCTTAGACAAAACTTATTATGTCTTGAAGTGTTGTTGGCCTTAAAGCCTTATGTCTTTGAAGTGTTGTGTTACTAATTTTTCTACTTGATAAGAGTATGTAACAGATAATATAAGATTATTCATAGTTTTAAAAAATGCAAAAATATGCATCAAAGGACTAGATCAAACTGTCAAGCCCAAGTGAAATAAGGAAATATGTAGGAAGAGAGAAATGATAAAATAATTTAAAATATATATTGAACAGATTTTCAGAACAAAAACAAAGATACTATCGTAAAACGTGTAGTAAAAAATAATAATAAAAATTAAGACACTGCGCATTTAAAAAAAATGTAATAAAAACAAAACAAGACACCTAAGTCACCATAAATCTACAGTGAATACAAATGTTTAACATACTTAAAATAAAAATACATATGTATAGATCAGTATAAGAATGAATAAATATAAATTCATAGGAGGTATAAAATAAAGAAAAAACATTATTGCTTTTGTGTAATCATAATTTATCCGTTAGATAGACATCATCGCTATTTATGCTTTACCCCGCGGTATATGCCTACTCCATACTGCAGTAAAAAAGGATTTCACTACAAAACAGCCAAAACCCTAACCTCACCCAAATTTGTAAAGCACTAACATTTTTAAGGAAATAATATGGATAATGAGAGAAGTGAATTTAATACCAAATAATATAGCAAATTTAAAATAAAATAAAATTTATAGAAGATAATAAGATAAATATATAAAATGAAATATGAATAAATTTTTCTACTTTTTCAACTAAGAGTATGTAACAGATAATACAAGCTTAATCATAGGAAAAAAATAAGAATGTGTGAATAATTTGCCCATACAATTGAACTCACATACTAGTGTACTAACATCATGGCTATCTACATCACCAGGTCTATTAACCATATAATCCGTAAGAAAAATAGAAGATTTTGAGAAAGTTTGTTTGTGCAGTCTATGTAATACTATAAGACAAAACTTATAAGTGTTTTGTTACTAATTTTTCCACTAATTAATTTTACTAATTATTTAACCGACACAAAAAAATGTGCTGTTTACAGATTACCAAAAAATCCAGAAGAATGCAAAAAGTGGCTACATGCTATTTCAAGAAGTAACATTCTTGATAGAAAATATACTGTAGTTTGTTTTAAACATTAGCCTTTAATTTTCCAAAAAAAATGTTTAAAAATTCCAAAAAAAAATGAATGTCCCTCTTCTCATCCATCTAAATTTCATTGTGTTAAGTCCAGCCTTGCATTAACTGCACCATCAAAGTTGAAGACTACAGATTCAGCAACTTTGATTGCAAGAAATGTGCAAAATTGATCAACTTGAAACATTTACAGCCACAAACAGTTTGCATTATAATGATGTGGTTAGTATTTACTCCAAAAAAAACCAAAAGATTTACTAAAATTAATAGTTGTAAGACTTTCATGAAATTGATGTTGGTTGATCACAGTTGCATTAACTGTCAGAGGAAATTGGTGCAATAAAAAAGTGAAATATTTGATTCTTTGAGCATATTTTGAATCTAGTTTAACCAATGCTGTTAAAATGGCTTTAGTATGGCTGGTTATCTTTAGTTAAAGACTTGATATGAAAATCTTAACACTTATATATATTTGTATTGTAGTGAGTATGATGCTTATCTCAATAACTTAGATTAAGGTGGTTTGATAAAGCCAACTGACATTCTATGTCAATTTACTTTCTTTTATTATTTACTTTATATTGCACTGGATCTGACTTAATCAGTTTGTTCACATTCCCTATCTTACTATATCAATCATTGTTTTTTTATTTTGATTTACTTGTTTGGTTTATTAATTGTGCATGTTTTTGCAAGAATATTAATTAAATGTTTTATGATGATAATGTTTTCATCGTCAAATCTTTTTTAAATTGCTTTTTATAACTGTTCAAAGTTGTTTAAGTATTGTAATATTTGGTTTTTTACCTTTGCTTTTTCAAGTATCATGTTTCATAAAAAAAATTACTAAAATGATAATGTATAAACAATAACAGCAACTTAGAAGAGTTTAAGTGAGAAATAACTTTAGCAATGGATGCAGGAGATAAATGGATGCTGGAAATAAAACCCTTTTTTTTTATGACAGGAACAATGAGATTGTTTAATTCATGAGATGAATGTAGAAGAGAAGTTCTGCAAATATTTCTACTTTATTCTTGGGAAAGTAATAAGAGTAATAAGTGTGATAAGAAGGTGTAAAAGAAGTTTTAGTGAGATCATAGCATGATCAGAACTATTTAATTGAGCACTAGGAGAAATTGAGCACAAGCTTGGGTCTAAGACCCAAGTGTTCAGAGAGAAGCTAAGTGGAGGTTAGTTGAAAAAAGACCCAAGTGTTCAGAGAGAAGCTAAGTGGAGGTTAGTTGGAAAATGAGTTGTAAAGTTACTAATCTGAATAATAGATTTAGAAAGACAAATGTTTATTTTTTTATATTATATATATATATATATATATATATATATATATATATATATATATATATATATATATATATATATATATATATATATATATATATATATATATATATATATATATATATATATATATATATATATATATATGTTATATTATTTGTTATCAGCCCTTCACTGTGAAGAAAAGAACAAGAGCCAAGCTATTCAGTGTAAAGAAAAGTCAGTTTGATGGACGTCTAAGTCTGAGGAGAGTGAAGGAAATTTATAAAAAACAAAAAAAAAGGGTGTTTGAGTGAAGAGGTGCTATGGAAAACCATATAAAAATATATTTTACATAAATTCAAACCTGATTTTATGGAAAACAAGTGAATTGGTTTGCAATGCTTTGCATATGCTCAGGCCAAGCATTTGTTTTTTTATTACATTTTATTATGAATTTTTTATGATTACTAATAATCCAGCTGAAAAGCTCTTAAAGCAAAAAAATGTTCATTAACATCAATGAAAAGAAGACGGAAAAAATATTAACATCATTTCAAAAAATCAATGCATACAAAATAATAAAAAAGCCAAAATATATTTATACATAAAGGTCTATTTCACAGAAACTTCTTTTTTACTGAAAAATGACATACGCTGACTTTATGTATTAAACAATTGTACAGTTTTTCTAGGATAATTTTTATAACTAAAAAAAGCTGTCAAAAACCAAGGGTGTTTTTGTTATTATTTTATCATTGTGGGTTTTACACATTTTTATATTGAAGGTTTGGTTAAGAAAAATTGACACTTTTTATATCTTGAATTAAAAAGATTAGAACGAGCTAGAAAGTTTTTTTTTTTATTGAATGCTTATCAAGTCTTGAACAAAAAATAGTTAAAAAAATAATTAAGTTTTTTTAGTACAATAAAAATTTCTGATTTTTTTTTGATGGGAGCTTTGATATTTTGCATTAGGTGAGATGCATGCTCTGTGGTGGTTTTATCTTGTTTTTTCTTAAAGTCAATACCTGACTTTGCTTGCCTTCTTATGTAACTTTACAAGATTGTGTGTTGTCTAGGTATGAAATCAACACTATTGCATTGTAGAAGTTTAACCTGAATTAAGAGTAATGACAAGAAAATAGATCAGACCAAAAAATTGCATTACCATCGTGGACATTCCAAAGTGCAAATAAGCACTTTTTAAGCATTCTTTCTGATAAATTTCACTATTTATTTTGAAATTAGTAAATTTACCCTAATTTTTGTTAAAACGTTAAGTTTTTTTTATTAATGTTTGAGTTTTTCCACAATAGTAAGTCTGGAAGGCTTTCTATTTATTGTTTTAAATGTCAAATACTTATTTAAAGTTTAATCTCATTACTTTTAGAACATCCAACAATTTTAACAATCAGTTTAGAAGATAAATTAGGATTTTTGCTAGAGCTACAAAATTGCATGACACGCATGTTGCTGTTTTTATGCCCTTTTAAATAATAATAAAATTTTTCTAAATGTTTTCACTTAAATACTAATTCAATAAGTAATTATTTTTATGTATGATAACACTTTGATCAATTTTTTAGTGTCCTAATTATAGGTATCAATTTTACTTAACTCAACCTTTATTGTGATCTTAATATGTATATAATTATTTGAAACAGTATTATTGTGACCTTAATATGTATATTTTCACAAATTTGAAACAGTTGGATACTTTTATATTACTAGTCCTTTATTTTTATATTTTCATTTTTTATATTTTGTTTTCAATTGTATCTCTTTTTGTTTTTTCACTCTAGAAGCTATTAAATGGAATGAAAACTGGGCTCTTGATTGTGATTTTCCTGAGCGTGACTTTTCTAATGCCCAAATACAACAAAACGAGTGTTGGGAAAGATGCTCTTTGACACCTGATTGTACTCATTTTTCCTGGAGCCACTATAATAATGGAACTTGTTGGATGAAGTATGGGACTGTTTCAATATCTGATGCTATAGCCGCTGAGAATGACATGTTGTGTGGAATAGTTATTAAAAGTATCATTTTTTATATCAGCACTATAAAATATATATATTCCAGTTAACCAACATATAATAATATGTATATAACAGGTTAACCAATTGTTGTAGTAAAAATCTAGTTTATTACTTTTAATGTTTATCATGTAATAAACACTTCACATATACTGTTAAAATTAATAATTTAAGATTATGCCTAAATATTTATAAACAATGGTTTTTTATGAACTTTATTTAGAATCACTATCTAAAACATCTATCATCACTGCTGCGATTGTTGTTCCTGTTATTGCTGTTCTTATTGTACTTGCTGTTGTTATTGCATTTCGAATTTGTAGGAAAAATTGTAAGCAACCAGAGTAAGTAAAATCTTAAATTTTCTTAAGCAAAAGCTTAAAAAACAGTTATATGTAATGTAGAGTTATACTTATGTTATATATATGAGTTATATTTACAATATTTACAATATTTCTCTGAATATTACATTAAAAAAATATAATACAGTAAAATGTGTAAAAGTTCTTTTTTATGAAATTTTAAAATCAAAACACCTTTCCCTTCTTTCCTAATGCTGCAAAGGATTTAAATGACAAATGAACGGCTATATATATATATGATTAAAATAGTTTTATGGTAAAACAAATTTTCTTCTCTTATAAAAGTATATTTAAAAAATATACATGTGGTTACACTTATATTTTTTAAATATACTTCTATTACCGAATTATGCTTAAAAATACGGAGGAAAAGATGGTACATCAGCACATTTTCAAATAAGAGGAGATACAATATCAAGTTATATATAAGTGATCCAGTTAAATACAGTGCTTCCAGAAAGTATTAGCGCACTCATTTTTTTTTACCTCAGAGAACTTTAAAGGATTGTAATTCAAAAACAATAAAAGACTGATTGATAATTTTTTTTTTAACTAATTCATTAAATTATGCAGAATTACTAATTGTAAAATATATAAAAGTATTTCTTTATTATTATCTTGAATTTAATTAAAATACAATAAGAGTGATAAAAACAATAATAAAAAAGTGGGCAAAAGTATTATCGCACTTACAGTTTTTCAAAGATTTTAGGAAATTTAATATTTTATATAACCACCTTTGTTTTTAAGGCATGCCAAGACCCTACGCGGCATAGAATCTATACGTTTTTTGATTAGTTCTTGTGGCATGGTATTCCACAGCGCTTACATTTGTGTTTTGAGCTGCACCAAGTTAGTGGGCCTGCTTTTTTGTAATTTGCAGTCCATCCAACTCTAAAGATTCTCAATAGGATTCAAATCAGGTGAGCGAGTGGGCCAAGGCATCAGGTTCAACCGTTTTTCATTCATGTATTGCTTAATTGAGCGTGCTGTGTGGCAAGGAGCGTTATCTTGTTGAAATTGCCAGGTGGAGTCAGCTTTGAAAATGTCCATTGATGGCTTTAAATAATCTTCTAATATCTCTCTATATCGATGTTGATTAAGGCAATCAGTGTAAAGATGCGCCAGGCCATTGCTAGATCCAGAAATTCAGCCCTAAATACCAATTGAACCTCCTCCTCCTTGAACTCTTGACATGATAAAACAAGGATTATATTTTTCATTTTTGTATCTCCTCACAACAACTCTTTTTTTGCGATTAATAAGTTCAAAATTTGACTCATCTGAGAAAATTACTTTTTTCCATTGCTATACAGTTCATGCAGTTCTCTCTTTGCACCATTTTCTTCGCTTGAGACGGTCTTTGATGCTTAATAGTGGCTTCTTTGTTGAAAGGTATGAATTGAGTTGTTGTTTTTTTATCAGCTTGCTAATTGTTGATCGGCTTACTTGATGTGCACCCATCGCTGTATTTAAGTCTGAGGCGATTTCAGCTATACTTATGTTCGGGTTGCGTCTAGCAAGCATAATTGCTTTATTTTCGACATTTTTTTGGGACAACCAGAGCGATTTTTGTCTTCGACTGATTTAAACTCATTATAGTTTTTTAACATTGTTCTAATGCTGCATTCACTGATTTCAAGTTGACGTCCAATTTCTCGATTGCTGAGGCCACTTTTGTGCAGGCCAACACTTGCCACTTTGTTTCAATTGATATGCTCTTTAAACCCATATTTTTGTTGTTTAAATTTTAAAGTTTTAACTGTATTTCAAATGATATATCTGTCACTTCAACTTATGCTTCTTATATTTTTTATTGACTATTATTAATCAGCAGAGAGTAATTAACAAAAACTAACCAAAAAAGTTTTTCTCGAAGGAATTAAACAATTGTACTAATACGTTTTAAATCAGTGCGCTAATACTTTTGCATGCGTAATTTCACACATTTTTCAGAGTAGTCATTAAACTTCTAATTAATTCATCAAAAAAACAGGTAGTTGGACAAATATTTGACATTCTAATTAAATTTAATTGGTTTTACCTTTCATAAAAGAAAAAACTAGTTCGTAATTAAAATTACTCTATAATTTAAATTGATTTGAAGTTGTCTGTAATAAAAAAATTACGAGTGCGCTAATATTTTCTGGAAGCACTGTATAAGTGATCAATTTCATGATATATAAGTAAAAAACAGGAAAGAAATTTAGTGGTCAAATACAGACTCAAATGTTATAATTTTTAGTTAAATATTAAAAGGGCTAGGACTAAGCTTTTTAATTAAATACTAGAAATGTATTTACAATGTAGGTTTAAAATATTTATAAAATTTAAATATAATTTTTGTTTTAAATCTTATAAAATGTATTTTCTCATCTTTAAATTTAAAGCTCATTGTTTTAGAATCAATGCTAGCAATAAGGATTATCAAACAAATAAGGATGAGGCAAATAAGGATTATCAAACAGACAAATGGGAAATTTTTACTGATAGCATAGTTATTGATAAAAAAGTTGGCCAAGGTGCATTTGGTGATGTTTTTATTGCAAAAGTTAGTTCAAGCGTTCTTGCTAAAACTCATTATGCAAGTCAAACTGGTATGATTTTACATGATATTAGAGAAGGTTCTTCTGTTAAAGTTGCTGTAAAACTTTTAAAAGGTAAGTAGCTCTATATTATTACATTTTTGTACTTATATCATACAAAGTTAAATTTTGTGTTTAATATATTTTTGTGATATATTGTTGAGTTGTTGTATGTAACATATGTTGTATGTAACATATAGTTGTATTGTTTTTGAATACTTTTATTTACTTGGTTGGTATAACCACCATGTTATCAAGTTGTTTAATTAATCATTATGTTATATAAGTTGTTTAATTAACCACCATTTTACACAAGTTGTTTAATTAACCACCATTTTACACAAGTTGATTAATTAACCATCATGTTATACAAGTTCTTTAATTAACCACCATGTTATCAAGTTCTTTAATTAACTACCATCTTACACAAGTTGTTTAATTAACCACCATTTTACACAAATTGTTTAATTAACCACCATTTTACACAAGTTGTTTAATTAACCACCATCTTACACAAGTTGTTTAATTAACCATCATATTATACAAGTTGTTCAATTAACCACCATGTTATACAAGTTGTTTAGTTAACCACCATGTTATACAAGTTGTTTAGTTTGCCAAATATAATTTTTTTTTACTGCTATTCTGATGAATTAGAGGTGAGTACAGTAACTTAATCACAAATTAGAATTTAATTAAAAGTTTATTTTAAAGAATCGAAAGGTTTTATTCAAAAAAAAAATAGAAAAAGAGTTAAAATTTTATTTTGAATTAGATGGGACAAGTCAATCAGAAATCAACGATTTATCAAATGAAATCAATCTGATGAAAGATATTGGGTATCATAGGAATATCATAAATATGGTTGGATGGTCCACAGTTAGAAGTCATTTGTGTTTAGTAGTTGAATTTATGGAAAATGGAGATTTATTAAATTTTTTGAGAAATAGACGAACAAAAGTAATATATTAATTGTTATATAATGAGGATTTTATATATATATATTTATAATTTTCATAATTTCTTTTTTTTAATTTTTCATAACTTTTATAAAAAACTTTTTATTTACCATTTATAATTTTTTCATTTAACATTTATAACAGTTTCATTCTAAAAGGTTTTATCAGCTTAAACTGCACCTTTAATTCTATTTTCTATATATTTACTATTTTATATATTTCTATATATTTACTATACTATAAATTTCTATATATCTACTATACTATATATTTACTATGCTATATATTTCTATATATTTACTATGCTATATATTTCTATATATTTACTATGCTATACATTTCTACATATTTACTATGCTATATATTTCTATATATTTACTATACTATATATTTACTATGCTATATATTTCTATATATTTACTATGCTATATATTTCTACATATTTACTATGCTATATATTTCTATATATTTACTATGCTATATATTTCTATATATTTACTATGCTATACATTTCTACATATTTACTATGCTATATATTTCTATATATTTACTATGCTATATATTTACTATGCTATATACTTCTATATATTTACTATGCTATATATTTCTATATATTTACTATGCTATATATTTACTATGCTATATATATATATATATTTCTTATATACTTTGTAATAAAAAGATTTTATTATTTTATTAGTGTTCTTTTTTTTTTTTTTTTTTTGTTTTGGTATATTTTAATGGTAATGTTTTTTTTTTATTAAACTGTCACAATTATAAATGTGTTGTAATCAATTTCCTAAAAATCTCAAAGATTTTTTGGAAATTGATTTCATTAAATGCATAACGAGGTAGATATTAGATTAAAAAAGCATCTGTAATTTTTTTAAAAGTTCAAATTTCCACTAGTTATCTTGAAAGTATGTTTTTTTTCAAAACATAAAAAACTTAAAAAATAATTACTTTCGTGTTATGTTACTTTGTGCATGATTTTCCCAAAATTTTATAAAAATTAGTTATTGTCTAGAGGTCACTTTATTAAAAATATTGCTGTAAAAAAACACTTTTGTTTAAATTTAATGACTAAATATGTAATTATAATTAAATTAGACTATTAACTTTGTTTTTTTTAAGTATATTGTTATAAAGTACAAATTAGTTTTGATTTCAAAAGAGATGGATTTAGCTTACTTTGGTGTTCAACGACTTGAGAAAGAAATTGATGTTGCTTTTCATTTTCTACACACTCAAAAATTTCCAATAAGCTTGATTCCTTTTTTGGCAACATCATTTGTTACCTCCAATTGTAGAACAAAGTCTCTTGCTAGATATAACTAGATGTCTAACTTGCAGGATTTTATTGGACAAAAAGTAAAGCTGCTTTTTTTTTGTTTATAACAATAGAACGCCATTTGTATAAAGGCAAAAGCTGAAGCCGAAGTGTAGAATAAAAGTTAAAAATGCAAGTCAAAAATTTCTAATAAATTAAAGAGAATTAAAAAACATGTTTTAATGTTGTAAAATACTTTCAAAAGTTTTTTTATGAGCCTATGTTTATTAAAAAGTATTTTAATTCATAAAAATGTTTTAAATTAGTAAGACGTTTTACTTTTCTATTCAAAACTTTAATTCCTTTTTAATCGAAAATAAAGTAAGGAATTATAAATAATTATTTTACAAGTAAATTTCTGCTTAACACTTTTACGTAAATAGTATTTAAATTTAAAATATATTTACTTCATTTAAGAAAAGTTAAAAATATTTGTTTATAAATGTTTTTAACTTAGGCAAAAAGCTTTTCGGAATGAAGTTAGACATCTAGTTATATAATACATCATTGGTCCTAATAAATTAAAAAGAAGCCATGACTGTGGCTCAATTTAATAAGAAATAATGCTTAATGAATAATGATGGTTTCTCAATTAAACATTTTTTAGTTTTGGAGTAGAAAAAAAGTTTTTTGTCATTATTGTTTTTGTAAAGTCTGAGAATTTTTCATTAACATGCACTTCCGTTAAATACCAAGATAACAGTTAATTGATAAAATAATTGCAGTTAATTGATAAAATAGTTGCAATATCTTGATGTTCTTTCTGATATCGGTTCATTACAACAAGAAATTTGAAATCATCAACTGGAGCAAACACAGAAATCCTTGAGCAAAGAAATTGCGTTGAATAAAAAAGACTAATAAACTTAACCATGCAGTCAACCAAAATTTGCTCAGCATCGGGCATGATAAATTTATTAGATAAGAGTTCCATTTTTAGGATATATATAGAATGTGACTTAAAGCTCGCACTGTTAATTGCATTACGATAAACGATGTTGGTCTGAAAAAAATGTTGTAATTTCTAATAGCTGCTTTGCTAATTCTTTAAGTGAATTTGTTTTAAATTTTTGAAATTTTTTTTTTTTTATTTTCCTTTTTTTTGGAGGTAGTAAACTCAGTATCACTTTCATCTTCTTCATCAACACTATCAAGTAATTCAATTACTTCATTGTCACTCAGTTTTTGATCTTCTGTTGACTTTTTCCTGAAATTCTTGCTTAGTCTATTTTCTTGGCATTCTAAAGGTTTTAAAATACTTTGATCAATGTTACTTGTCATATTTTCTGCTACTCTGATTTTCATGAAATGTCTCCTTTTGGTCTGCATGATATGAGCATATGTATTTAGTGCAATGTCACAAAGTTGTTCGAGTTTGGCACAAAATCTGACAATTTTTTATTTTTCAGCTTTAACATTTCAACCTGATTGCTCTAATTTTTTTATCCTGAATTTTTTCCTACAATTTTGTAAGTAATCAAAGGAATTATCTGAATAAATAAGTATTCCAGCTTTTCTCCAAACTTCTTGTTTACTAAAAACAAGTTTTAAAACGTTTCTTGCAGATGTGTTGCTGATGTGTTGCCTTTTGAATAAAAATATAAATGAGAGCATCTAGCATGTTTTTTTAAAAACATGTTTTTTTTTTTTTTTGGTAAGTGTGATATATTATCGAATTCAATGTGCCCAATCTTGATATTTTGTCTGAGGTTCATGACTCAGACAAAATATCAAAAATAATAAAACGAAATTATTCACTGACCTAAAATAATACAAAAATTAATTTTTTTTAAAGTTATTTTTGAATGTTTCGGCAATGCTTATTGATATAATATCCTTAACTTTTTTATAAGCTTTTTTTATAACGTTATGAAATTTAAATATATATACAGGCTTTTATTTTGCAATCCAAACAATTTATCAATGCAAAAAAAATTTTGTGGTCAATTTTGCTCAAAATTGTATTTAACATAAAATGCAGCAACTTTATTTTATTTGATTGTTATAGGAACAAATTTTTAGTCAAAAGTTCAAACTATCTAACACGACAATCTCTAAACAATAACCAATTTTTTTTTAGTTTATAATAAATGTTCTACTAATAACAGTATATAGTATATACCAGGAAACATAACATAAAATTAATTATTTTTAAAGTTATTTATATTTGAAGTCAAAAAAAGTGTAGAAAATGCTATTTTTTCAAGATAGCCACCTCTAGAGAAAACATTACAGGCATGTTTTTTCCAAACATCTACCTCATTATGCATGCAACATAATCATTTTTAAAAAATCATTGGAAATAAAAAACCTTATTGTGTTATGTAATCATACAAAAAATACTTTAATGTATAATTTAGGTAATGTTCTAATTAGAAAAGTTATACATTATTTTTAATATATGATGTTCAATAAATTTGTTTGTAAATTTGTGTTAAACAATTGCATTATTTATTTATGTTTGAAATTTTAATGAGTTTAAAAGTTCAATAAATTTTTTGTAGCTTGTTGATAAAACTTTTGTAGCTTATAGCTTCAATGATGAATGAAAAATCACCAAGCATTATGTTTACACCAAACTACCAAAAGTTGCTTGAGGTTTTTATTTTAAATTTTTGCATTGAACTTTTTTTTTTAATGGGGGAATGGGGGATTTTTGATATAGCACTAAAATAGGAAAAAAAGCTTTGTCAAAAACTTGTTGCAGTGAATAAAATGGTTTTGTGCCCGCTCCTTGATTGATGCTGCCTTAATTTCCAAAATGGGTATGGAACCTTTTGATCTAAAGTCATCAACACGTTACACAACACAGCTACCTCCCACAATGCAGCCAAAAATTTTGTTTTGTTCTCTTAATATAAAGAAATCAGTTGTAAATATTACAATCACGCCAAAATTTATAAAATCAAACAGTATCATATTTGTAGAAAGTCTTTTGAAATAACGCAGATGTTTTTTTTTCAGAATTTGAATAAAGTGAAAAAAAAACTTATTTTATAGAAAAGTTTATTTGTTCAAAATTATTATATGTTATAAATAGGCTTGAACAAATCACAAAGACATATGGAACAAATACAGAAATACATATTATGTACAGAAATTTTATTTATACTTTGTCCAAACATTAAAAAAAAATTTAAAAATCCGAAATATCTATTAAAAGATGTATCATTATAAATATCTATTATGAGATGTGTCATTATAAATAAAGATTTAGTTACATAAAACACATCTGACAAAAAAAATTTTTTTTTTAAATGAATTAAATTAAAAAAAAGTTAAAATATATTTTAATTTAAGTTTTACAATATTAAAGTTTGCTTGGAAATGAGTATTTCTTTTCTTTTTTTTTTTCACTTTCTAACTTTGTTCCCAAATTTTTTTTATTATTATTATTTTCTAAATTTGTTTTATAGAAAACAAGTTTTGTGTACGAGAATATTTTAGTTGAGGCTGAAGCTATAACACCTAATGACTTAATCCGTTTTGCGTGGCAGGTGGCATCAGGAATGGTAAGAGATCTTAAATATGTGGGATTTTTTATTGCTTCTTTTTCTGTCTTTTAATTTACATTTCTTCAGGAATATCTTTCACATATGAAATTGGTTCATCGAGACCTGGCTTCAAGAAATATCTTGGTCGGTGTGGATAAAAGTGTGAAAATATCTGATTTTGGTTTAACACGTAAAGTAAATGATGAATTAAATTATATGGGCAGCACTCATCGTCGTTTACCAGTTAAATGGATGTCAGTTGAAGCAATATTTGACCAAATGTTTACGTCATATAGTGATGTGTAATTTTTGTTAATTCTTTTTCATAAAATGTTTTTGTTGTTTGAAGTTTTAATATTTTGTGTGTGATTATTATTTTTTAAGGCTAATTGCGAATTCAAATTTTGTTTTAGGTGGGCGTATGGCGTTGTTTTATTTGAAATTGTAACACTAGGTAAATACATGTGTTTGTTATTTTATATACAGTTGAATAATTATCTTATTTTTTTAAAAAATTTTTTTCTATTTAACCACCTTATCGTTTATAGGAGGAACACCTTATCCTGAATTAAGTAATCATGAGCTTCTTGCTCGTTTAAAAACCGGCTATCGAATGCAGCGACCAGATAATTGCTCTCAAATCATGTAAAAAATATATATTTTTTTAAAATTACTATATTAAAAGAACTGTTGAAGATGATTTCAATGTTGACTTTTGATTCTGAAATTTTAGGTATGACTACATGTTGCAATGTTGGAATGAAGATCCGTTACAACGACCCAGTTTTACAAAGTTACGCGAATTATTTGAAGAAATATTATCTCAAGGTGGTCAATATATTAGCTTTGAAATCAATGAAAAAAATAACTATTATAATGTACCATCATTCGATAGCGTCTTGTCTGATGCAAACGATGACACGATAAAAAAAGAATTATTACTAAAGCCTGTTTATTCAGTTGAAGATATAAACAATAAAGTATATGAAAAAATGGCAGCTTATTGATCTAAAAATTTCAGTTAGTAACTTCTCACATTTTATTGAAATACTTGCTAATAATTTTTCCTGTTCGAATTTCTTTGTTGTCATTGTTTTTGCTGTTTCTATGCAACATTTTATGTTTTATTTTTTTATTCTCTTATGTTAAAAACAAAGTTATTTTTTGCATCGTATTTGCTGATCTATTACAAAAAACGTATCGAAAATAATGATGAGATTTAGTCGCTGTTCAGAATTGATTTTTCAGCCATCGAAGCAGAATAGAGAAAAAATTTACTTATTTACCAAAACGATATATTCAGACTTTTTTGAAAGTATATTATTTTGTAACGCTACGTAAGAGAAAAAATATTTTTCGGAATTTGAAGGGTAGTAGTTATTTATATTAATTTTATTTTTTAAATTTAAAGTATAAATTATAAAAAACAGCTGCGTAACAAATTTTTTCTTTATTGTGATATTTGAATCTAAAATTTGAATGAGTCACACTTGCCTTTTTATACTAATTTTTTGATGTTCAACAACTTTTTAATATTTATTTATTATATTTTTATCTTACTTTATAAATACATTCTATTTTTTATTTGTTATTTATTGAATTTATTTTATAAAAGTAAATGTTTTGAAAATGAAAAATGAAAATCGAAATTTATATTGTACTAGGATTATAGATTTCGAAGTAAATATTTTTTAAGGTAGAAACTTTTTTTTTATTGTTTTTGATAATTGTTGTTTTAATTTATTGAAGTTGTATATGAAAATAAAATTTAAAAGTTTTTTTAATTTTTTTAATTTTAACTTTTACATCAAGTAAATTACAAAGTTTCCCTAAAATCCATTTAGTTGTTTTTAGATAAAATGTCACCTGCAGAAACCGCAGAAAAAATATTGAATTAGATAAAATGTCACCTGCAGAAAAAATATTGAATGATCCCAATTAATGTATATTTTTAAAATATTTTTTTTTAAAACTAGAGGAATAAGAGTTTTTGGAGCATTTAGGAACAGTCACAGAAAAAGGATGAGACTTAAATGAATGACGAGTAACACGACAATGAATTTTAGTAAATGGCACAAGAGTCGCTAGCTCTTTAGAGCAGTGCCCATTATAATATTTGTAGAAAAAAGAGAGAAAAGCAACATTACGACGATGTGATAATGGTTGGAGGTTGGCTGCAAAAGCAGTTTCAACAATGTTTACAATGCGTCTTTGCACCTTGTCTAAAAGAGAAAGAGTTTATTGAAAGATCCGCTCCAGATATAACAGCATTATTCCATACAAGGCTGGATTTGAGATTTATAGAGAGAAAAAATAGAATTCGGAATAAGAAAGCGTCGAGGTCGATAAATAGATGCAACCTTAGCAGATGCTGATTTTGCAATCGATTTGATATACAGTTTCCAAAAAAGATCGGAAGTAAGAGTTAATCTTAGAATACGTAGTATAGATGACTCATTGCGTACATTACCATTCATAAATATAGGAAGATTTAGATTGTTACAGTAACAACTACCTGAAAAAATTGAATTTTATCTGAGTTTAAGTTTACCAGCCACTTAGAGCCCCATGCAAAAGCTGAAGTGAAATTCTTTTCAAGTTCAAATGTCTCCTCCAAGCAATTAAATACTTAAATCAAAAACTTGAAACCTAATTATTATTGCGATAACGATTGGCTAAAAAAAATTGAGTTTTATCTGAATTAAAGTTTACCAGCCACTGGGAGCCCCATGCTGTAGCAGAATTGAGATCCTTTTCAACTCAAATGCCCCCTCCAAGCAATTAGAGGGATCTTGTCATGACAAGAATAAATGGTAGTATCATCAGCGAACAAGGCTAACTTAGATGTGAGAACATCTAGAAGATCGTTAATGTAAATTAAAAAGGGTATAGGGCCAAGGATCCAACCTTGAGGAACCACTGGAATTACAGGATATGAAAAAGAGTGCTGTCCATCGAGAACAACTATTATACAACAATTGAAAAAGAAGGATTTAATAACCTTGAAGGTGCTACCAGATACACCATAAGAAGAAAGTTTATGGAGAAGATTAGCGTACCAAACTTTATCAAAAGCTTTAAAAATGTCAAGAGCAATCCCAGCTAACAAAAAACGTTCAACGAACGTTCATAGAACGTGTTCGAATGTTCGCAACATTCGTCGAACGTACTTGAAGGTTTTGGGATAGCCTTAACCTCTTCACCTTTATCTAATGCACGATAAAACCTATCGGGTAGTTTATCAGCTGTTGAACGAGAAGATTGAAATCCATATCAATGATCAGAAAGTAAGTTATTAGATTCAAGATGAGAGATTAAGTGTTTGTTAATTAAAGACTCAAAAAACCTTGCTTATGATAGGAAGAATACTAATAAGACGGTAGTTGTACGAATCAGATTGCTCTCCAGAATTTTTGAAAATAACAGATTTTGAAAATAACAGATGCAGTTTTCCAGCAGGCTGGAAAACAAGACTTTGTTAAGCACTTGTTAAATAGCTTTGAAAATAAGTACGACAGCTCCTGAGAACACTTCTGCAAGACTTTATCAAGTATGTTGTCCGGACCACAAGCTATAGAAGAGTCTAAGCAGGAATCACTTTAGATACAGAAGCTGGAGTGATGCAAATGTCAAGCAATGGATCAATCTGTTTAACGGCTATATCAGGTAAAATACAACTAGTGAAATCAAGAGATGATATTAATGAAAACTTCTTAGCAAATGATTCAGCTTAGGTTTTGGGTAAGGAGACAAAGTCTGAACCATACAAGAGAGGTGGAATAACAGATTTGCCCTTATTATTGATACTAATAAAGATTTTCCAGAAGTCAAGAGAGCCTAATTTTTGAGATGAAATACAAGATTTCATGACTTGAAAATAGTGGGCTTTGGCGTTAGACAAAACCTTTTCACAATGGTTTCTAGCAGTAATAAACAGACGTCTGTTTTCTGGAGAATTGTTTTGCTGATAGATATGGAAGTAATGGCTTTGATTGGAAATTGCAGCAGCACAATTTGAGAATAACCAAGGATAAGAGCGAGCCTTAACCTGGAATCGTCGAGAGGGAATAAAAAATTCCATGCCAGCCTGAATCCACGAAGTTTTGTAAGAAGCACATTTCGTCAGGTTAGAATTATTTTAAATCTCCAAATTTGAAAAAAATGAGATAATACCAATTTCTTTTTTATTGTTAATTTTTCTTTTTAGCTGTATTACTTTTGAAATTAATTTTTTTTTTAAATAGTGTCAAATCAGGTGTATCCGATTATTCTATTTGCAAAATATCAACAGTTTTTAATGTTATTTTGTTATATTTCCAACAACCAATAAAATTGCGTAAAAGTCACATTAAGTAATCAGTTCGTGTTTATTTTATATCTTAGAGTAATAAACAAAAATATAGGTATTTTCTTATATATTCTAGTGTCAATCGGCTTTTTTTAGTTTTTATTCATAATTCTACATATTAATTTAGTAAGAAATGTATCATCATCTAACTAAAAGCACACGGATTCTGTTGTATATGTAACATACAGTGTATATGTATCATATAATATATATGGTTATATATATACACTATTGAAAAGCAACACTTTTTTAGTAAAACTACTGAACGATTAGATAAAAAAAGATCTCGAACCAATAAAGTAAGCAATTCAAGGAGAAAATATACTTACATTTTACAATTTCTTTGTTGATAATATCAAGTATCGTGTATGTAAGGAGTTTTATTTGTCTACATTAGACATCAGCAGCAGACAAATATCATACTATCATGAAAATAAACTTGAAACTGGTGTTCCTGTCCCAACAAAATGGGGGAAACATTGTAAAAAAAAAGTTCTTGAAATGACTAAACAGAGTATAGAAAACCATATCAACTTGTTTCCACGAGTCGAGTCACACTATTGTCGAAGCATTTCCTGCAAACAATACTTTGATGGGTCATTAAATTTGAAGAAACTTTATAATTTGTATTTAACATATTGCACTCAATATGAAATTTCATCAGCAAAGGCATGTATGTACCGCAATGTTTTTAATACAAAATTTAATATTGAATTTCAAAAGCCGAAAAAGGATCTGTGTGATACATGCTACAAATTTCAAATTATTGAAGATACAAATGAAGAGCAAATCCAAAAGTATAACAAGCATATTGCATCAAAGAATGAAACAAAAATCGAGAGAGATATGTATCGAAATTTGAACTCCCCTTTCACAACCATAGTTTGTATTGATCTATAAAATATCTTGAGCTTGCCAAAAAATAATGTGGGAAACTGCTTTTATAAAAGAAGAAAAAGCTCAGCTGTTATAACTTAACAGGTCACTCTTCACTGAACAAAAAAGCATATTGTATATTATGGCATGAAGGTATGTCAGATCGTTCTGGTAATGACATCGCCAGTGCTGTGAAATGTATGCTAAATAAAGTTTACAAGGATCTTCCTAATATTAATAAATTTATACTTTGGTTTGATTCTTGCGTTCCACAGAATAGAAACAGTCATATATCAGCTGCATTGCGTGAGTTTCTTATTGATCATCTAAATATTGAAATCATTGAGCAAAAGTATTGTGAGCCAGGGCACAGCTCTATTCAGGAATGTGATGATATACATAGTCAGATTGAGAAATCATTACATTCAGCAGAATGTAATGATTTCTCAATCTGACTATGTATATCATCAATTTATTAATTTTAGTCTTTGAAACTAAAACAGTTTCAAAGACTAAAATTAATAAATTCAAAAATATGAATTTATTAATTTTAGTCTTTGAAACTGTTTTAGTTTTAAATTTCGATAGTCCTTTCTCAGTCATTGGGAAAACAGATTGCAGACTCAATTCATATCAAGTTTTAAACTTGTTTTAAGGTGGTATATTCAATGTAGTTTTTTTTTTAGTTTCTTGTTTTAAGGTGGTATATAATATAGAAAAAAAATGATTGTTTTTTTTTTAATAAAATAACCCCCTTAATTTAAAAATTTGGGAAATGCTTAACCTTTTACTAACAGATGCAGGTATCGTATTGGAAAACTGTACCTTCTATATTTATTTGTATAAAAATAATTCTACTAACCATCCTATAGTTTTTGCAACAATTATTTTTTTGCTTAAGGGCAGGCACGAGTAAGTATCAAGTGAGGGAGGGTGCAACTTAAAGGCAGTTTAAGGCAACTTAAAGGCAGTTTTTTGCAACAATAATTTTTTTGCTTAGGGCAGGCACGAGTAAGTGTAAAGTGAGGGAGGGTGCGTGCCTTATAGTTTTTGTCGACTAAAAGTATATATATAAAAGAAAAGATACTCTGATTACCCAAATTACCGACTGATGGTATAAAGACTCATTACGTCTGGA